GTAACTAGAACCACGCGCGCGCTTCGCGCGCGCTTAGGTTCTGTCGAGTCACAGACCCAAGAATCGTTGTGAGAAGCCTCTTGGGCGTCCTGGGTCTCTCGTGGGGGCTTCTTGGAGCTCTCTTGGCGCCTCCTGGAGCCTCTTGGGGCCGAACGCTCGGAATTCTACAGTGGCTTTCTCCCTCTGGGACCCCTCTCGGGCACGCCTTGGGGCTCTCTTAGGCCATTTTGGAGTCCAATTTTGCCGTCCTGGGCGCCTCGTGAACCGTCTTGGAACTCTCTTGGGGGCCACCTAGGCCGTCTTGGGAGCCTCTTCGGACGTGCTGGACGCGGTGAAAACCCAACAGGCGACCATGCGAAAAGTATACGTTTTCCCATAGGAATGGGACCGTTTTTGCTTCTTGGACCTCTCCTGGGGTGCCTGTCGGAACGTCTTGGGCTGATTTTGGAAGCCTTTTGGCGCCTCTGGGAGGCGTTTTGGCGCCTCCTGGGATGTGTTGGGCCGGAAGCTCGGAATTCGAGAGTGGCTTTCTCCTTCTGGGACCCCTCTCGCAGTCGTCTTGGGGTTCTCTTGGGCCGTCTTGGGGCCGTCCTGAGCCACTCGTGCGCAGCCTTGGAGCGCTCCCGGAGGCCTCCTAGGCCGTCTTGGAGGCCTCTTGGGCCGTCTTGGACGCGGTGAATGCCCAAGATGCGAACATGCGAAAAATATACGTTTTCCCATCGGAATGGCACGATTTTTGTTCTTGGACCTCTCTTGGGGTGCCTCTCGGAACGTCTTGGGGTGCTTTTGGGAGCCTTTTGGCGCCTCTTGGCGGATTGGCGCCTCTGGAGCCTCTGGGCCGGAAGCTCGGAATTCGAGAGTTGGCTTTCTCCGTCTGGGACCCTCTCAAACTCGTATTGGGGATCCTCCTTGGCCGTCTGGGGCCGTCCGAGGCCACCGTGCAAAGGCCTTGGAGCCGTCTTTAATTAAACGGAGGCCTCGTAAACCGTCTTGGGCGCCTCTTGGGCCGTCTTGGACGCGGTGAAAGCCCAAGAGGCGAACATGCGAAAAATATACGTTTCCCCATCGGAATGGCACGATGTTTGCTTCTTGGGCCTCTCTTCGGCTGCCTCTCGGAGCGTCTTGGAGGCTTCTGGGACCTTCTTGGTGTCATGACAGGCGTCTTGGAAGTCATCTGGAGCCATCGGAGCGCGTTCCGAAGCCGCCTGCGAACGATCTTGGACGGCGCCCGGCGGTCCGACGAGCCTCCGGACCCCCCGGGGCCCACATTTGCGGTCGGGGTCCCGGCCCCGGGCCCCCGGACCCGGTGCGCCGTTATATGTATATATAAGTATAGGTATTCGTATATCCGTGCGTAGGTGTACATATGTGCCTGACTGTGTGTTATGTATATGTGTATTCGTATATCTGTGCGTAGGTGTACATATGTGCCTGACTGTGTTTATGTATATGTGTATGTATATGTATGTGCAAGTGTATGTGTATGTGTACATACATGTATACAACACATGTATAAGTACATAGGTACACGTGTATGTATACATGTGTATATATGTATATGTTTATAGATGGTTGCACACATTTGTATATATATATATATATATATATATATATATATAATGTATGCATGCATATATCTAGATCTTATATATATATATATATATACAAGTATCCATACACGGTGCCTCCTCGAGGCGGTTGAGGCCGTGGCCGTGCTCGTGCGGTCGCTGGTGCCTGTTCGAGGGATGGCCCCCCGCGGGGGGCGTGGCCCGCGAGCCTCAGGGCCGCGCCCCCGAGGCCTGCGCCCGAGATCGCAGGTGGCCCCCCGAGGCCCGCCTCTTCGGGCTGCGCGTCGAGGCAGGGAGAGGCAGGGAGTGGGAAGGGGGGGAGGGGGGAGGGGAGGGGTAAGGGAGGGGGGGAGGGAGGGGGGGGGGGGAGAGGAGGGAGGAATGGCGAGGGGGGGGGGGGGGGCAAGGGGGGGCAGTAGGACGACGAGATCAAAATGTATACATGTCACGTCCGCTGCCCACGGCCATTGCCATCCTGGGGCCCGGAGCGGTGCATGCGCACTCGCGGCCTGGCGGGGGAGGCCCTTGCACCGCTCAAGGGGCCCAGGATGGGCCTGGCCAGAGGCAGTGGACTTGTGTAGATCTCGTCGCCTGAGGCCAAAGACCCCTTCGGCTGCGTACACCGCGTGCCCGCTGACGGCTGGATCGTCGCCCGAGCGTCTCCCAAGGCGTGCCGTTCTTATTTTTCTAACGCGCTCGGTGGGAGGTGTTGCGCATGAGCGCCAAGGCGGTGGGTCAGCTGTGCCCGCCCAGATCTTCAAAGTCAAGATCTGCGGAGGCGGAGTAGGAAAGGACAGAGGAGGAGGCTGCAGGAAAAGGAGGAGGAAAAATAATAAGAAGACGAGGAAGACGGACAAAAAAGGGCGGAGGATCGTCCTCCCTCTTTCTTCGATCCTGATCCTCGTCGTCATCCTGGTGCCCATCCTCTGAGGGTGAAAATCAGGATAGTGATGATGAGGAGGAGGAGGCGGAGGAGGAGGCGGAGGAGGAGGAGGAGGCGGAGGAGGAGGGGGATGGGGAGGAGAAGGAGGAGGAGGAGGAGGAGGAGGGAGGAGGAGGAGGGGGAGGAGGAGGAGGAGGAGTAGGAGGAGGAAGGAGGAGGAGAGAGAAGGAGGAGGAGGAGGAGGAGGAAGAGGAGGGAGGTGGATGGAGGAGGGGAGAGAAGAAACGATTGAGGAGGAGGAAGGGGAAAGATGGGGAGAGAGGGGTAAGGAGATACTCGAGAAGGGAGAAGGGAGGGGGAGCGAGGAGGAGGAGGAGGAAGAGGAGGAGGAGGAGGAGGAGGAGGAGGAGGATGGAGGATGGAGGGGAAGGGAGGAGGGAGGAGAGAGGTGCAAGGGCCGCTTCCACTCCGCGCCCCGTCCTATCTCCCGGCGCTGCTGCTCGCAGAGCGCCAGCAGCCTCCGGCGGGTGCAGTCCGCGTCGAGCACGTGGATGTGGTACAGCGATATCAGCACCTCGGAGCACGGGGGTGCTGGGGCCAAAGGTGCGCAGAGGGGGGTCCCCAGCTGTTCGCGCCAGGCTGGGAACCGCCTGGTGCCCTCGGGGCGGGCGGCCCTGCCGCAGACCGCGTTCTTATGTTTTGGGCCGCGCCACCACGGCACCGCGCAGACATCCTGCTACCAAGGGGGACCCTCATTTTCCTTATGCACCGTGAACACAAGTTCGCTGTTATAATCTCCTGAGTCAAGGACAGTCGGGTGATCGCTGGGGAATTTCTTTTACAGAAAAATAGGAGGGATCAGAAAAGGAAACATATCAAACAAGAGCGAAACATAGCTAAACATAAATGTTTTCAACTATATTTTCATTTAAAATATCTTAACGCACGCTCAGAAAAGGGATCCGACTAAAACGTAGCAATACAATAAAACAAACTAAGCATATATGTTTCATCATCTTTCTCATATTTCAACGCTGGCTCAGAAAAGTAGACATAGCAAACAAAACAAAACATACTCAGACAATCGCTGAACATACTTGTCTTCATACATGTTATCACGCGATCCATCTTTTAACGCCAGTTCAGACAAGGAAACATATCAATAACCCCGAACAATTAAAACAATTTGCAGTTTCATACATTTTACCATATGTTTCATATTTTAACGCTGGCTCAGAAAAGGAAACATATCCATGTTTTCATATATGTTTCATCATTCTCCATATCCCCCAATCAGTGCTTGCACTGCAGGGTCCTGGCGGAAGCTGAAAAATTTGGCGAACGTTTCCCGCCGATTTTGGTAGCAAACTGGGTACCTGGGTTCCCGGTTCCGGGTTCCCGGGTTCTGGGTTCCCGGACTCCGGGGTTCCCGGTCGATCTCCTCAGCGAAAGCCATCCACTGATTGGGGCTTTTCTCTGGTGGAATTTTCACTATTTGCAACGCAGAAATATTGGAAAATATATGAAAATAGATGCTGCCACACATTTTTTCATAATTCTTAATATTCACATTATTTGCAACGCCGTCTCAGAAAATATATAGTATAAGAAGTAACAATACATATGAACAAATAGCTGACATATATTCTTGGGGATAAATAGCTGAACTATGAGTTCTTTATCGTATTATTCCATACATTCACTATTTCAACGCCGGCTCAGAACTGGAACAAACAAAAACAATAGCTACAACTATATGTTTGCATATGCTTTCATAATTTCCCATATTTTCATCATTTGCAACGCCAGCTCTGGAGAGGACTCATATCAAACAAGATCAAACAAATGAAACAAAGCTACAAATATCTGCTTTCACATTTACCACATTTACCATCAATAAATACCACACACATATAAACAAACAAACATAGCAAAACTATATGTTATCAAAGAATTTGTTTTCCTACCGTTCCCAGCTGTCATGATTTGCAACGCCTGCTCAGAACAGGAAAAACATCCCAAACTAGCAAACTAACATGTATGTGTTCATATGTTTCATCATGTTCCATCTTCTCAAAGTTTGTAACGCTGGCTCAGAAACATGAGGACAACATATTATCATATGAAACAAGTTAATGTGTGTTTTCATAAAACTCCATGTGCATGTCCATATTTTCATTACTTGCAATGCTGGCTCCGAAACTGCCCAAGAGCTCTCCAGGGCGCCCAAGATGGCCTCCAGAGGGCCCACGAGGCCCCCAAGACGCCCCAAGAGGGCTCAGCGAGGTCCTCCAAGAGAGCCCCAAGAGGCAAACATCAATGATGATCCACCGGTTGTTGAATGAGTTTACCGTTCTCGCCTTTCTGAGCGTCCCACGCTCCAACACGGTTCCACAAGCCCCCAAGATTGCCCCACGACGGCCCAAGAGGCCCGCAAGACTGGCCAAGAGAGCCTCAAGACGGCCCTTGAGGTCCCCCAGAAGGCCCCCAAGAGGGCCCGTAGAGGGCTCTAAGAGAGAGAACTCGAACTGACAGTTCGAGCCCTCCACCCTGAGATGACCCCGAGACCGCCAGCAGGCCCCCAGGCGGCCACAAGAAGCCCCAGGAGGCTCCCTCAGAGATGCCCCTCCAAAGCCCCCAAACCCCAAACCCGCCTCCAAGAAGGCGCTCGAAGACGCCTCCCGAAAGACCCCCACCAGGATCCAGGAGGCCCCTGACCTACAACCCGAGCACGGTGGCGGCGGGCCGAATGGTTGTTGGTTCGTTGCTATAAACCTCGTGGGGGCAGGCGCGGGACGCGGGACGCGAGCTGCCAGCGGCCCGGAGCCGGCACCGGCACCGGCGGCCGGCTCGAGCCCGCGCTGCAGCCGCTGGAGGCCAGAGGGCGCCCTGCCCCTAGAGGTCAAATTTGTATCCATATCCACTGCGCCGCGGCCTGTTGGCGCCCCTTCCCGCTCATGTTTCATCTTCGGGGGACCTTGTCTGTCCCGTCGCGGCCCTATCCGTGTCGAATCCATGTCGGGCTCGTCGGATCCGTGTCGGATCCGCGTCGAATCTGCGATGGGTCCGCGCCAAATCCGCGTCGAGTCCGTATCGAGCCCGCGTCGGGCACACTGCGGGACTGCACAATGACCACAGCCACTGCTTCTTGTTTGCGCCACCTTCCAGCCGGCCGAAAAAGAAGCAGTGGCTGTGGTCACTTCCCTGGTGCCAAGCTTAACGAAAATGACCACAACCACTGCGTTGTTTCTGCTGGCTGGAAGGCGGCAACACAAGAAAAGAAGTGGCTGTGGTCGTTTTCGCGCCCCGTACACACGAAAAGACACCCATTTGGGGGACAAGCGAGGTCCCCCGAAGATGCAACGCAAGCTGAGGAGCGGCGGGCGACGGCAGGAGGCAGGCGGGGAGCTGGGAGCCGACGGTCCCGCGCGCAGTCCCAGCCGACCCCCTGGGGACCGACGGTCCGCGCGCAGCCGACCCCCTTGGGAGCCGACGGTCCCGCGCGCAGTCCCAGCCGACCCCCTGGGGACCGACGGTCCGCGCGCAGTCCTAGCCGACCCCCTTGGGAGCCGACGGTCCCGCGCGCAGTCCCAGCTGAACCCCTGGGTCGATGCAGCCCTGGCTTTGCTGGATCCTGCAAGATCCGGCGCTCTGGCGCTAGCCCCCGTGTGCATCGACCCTCGTCTCCGTTGCGACGAGGGCCCCCCCCCAGGAGGCCCAACAAGGCCAGCACGAGGCAAGGATAGCGGCATCCGTACCTTTCCCTCCTCTGACCTGCAAGTCCCCGGTCGTGCGCGGGGAAAAGGGGGGGTGCGCGACTTCGCGGCGGCGCGAGGGAGGGGGGCCCGAAGAGGGTCTGGCCCCGGCGGAACTCTGGGCGGGGGGGTCCCGCGGGGGCCGCCGCCGCGGGGCGAAGCGGTGGCGCGGGACCTGGCCTGCGCAGGCACTCGCGGCGCGAAGGGTGTCGGCGCCCGCGAAGTCTCGCTGGATTGTTTAGCTCATGTCCGGGAAGGAGGTCGGAGCCATGCTCCGAGCGGTGCGTCGGCACCGCGGCAACTTTTCAGTCTTCGTGAGGCGAGACTGCTTCTCGGAAGGGCAGCTGGAACAATTACAAAGACAACGTCGTGGCCATCAGAGGGACCTGCGCTTCCTCGACCAGAGATAGATCAAATAATAGTTTTAAAGATGTGTGCTCAAATATGTTTTTCCCAACCATCCTGTGGTGTTGGGTCCTCGTTTTGAAGAGACAGCGCCCCGCGTCTCCTTCCTCCTCTCCTCCTCCGCCTCCTCTCCTCTCCTCTCCTCTCCTCCTCTCCTCCCCTCCTCTCCTCCCCCTCTTCCCTGCGTTTCACCCACCCAGTACAACGTTTCGTAGCCCCATAGGAGCTCCACCGAAAGCCCCAATGCCCGCGCCCGCATGCGTCACCCACACCCAATTCGGCACACCCCTCACACGTTTCGTGGCTCCATAGGGAGCTCCACCGAAGGCCCCAGTGCCCGCGGCCGATGCGTCACCCCACCCATTTCGGCACATCCCTCAACACGTTTTGTGGCCCCATAGGGAGACACGAAGGCCCCAGTGCCGCGCCCGCATGCGTCACCACACCATTTCGGACACCCCTCAGCCGCTTTCGGTGGCTCCATATGGAGCTCCACCGAAGGGCCCCAGTCGCGGGCTCACCGCGTGCGTCACCCACACCCTATTTCGGCACACCCATAACACGTTCAGTGGCTTTCCACAGGGAGCTCCAAGAAGGCCCCAGTGCCGCGCCCCCGTTTATGCGTCAGCCACACCCCATTTCGGCACACCCCTCACACGTTCGTGGCTCCATTAGGGAGCTCCGACCCGAAGGCCCCAGTGCCGCGCACCGCATGCGTCACCCACACCCATTCGGCCACACCCCTCACACGTTTCGTGGCCCCATAGGGAGCTCCACCGAAGGTCCCATTGGCTGCGCCCGCATGCGGTTCCACCCCCCATTCTGGCACACCCCTTCACACGTTTCGTGGCCCCATAGGGAGCTCCACCGAAGGCCCCAGTGGCTGCTTTCGCATGCCTCCCCACCACCCATTCGGCACACCCCTCACACGTTTCGTGGCCCCATAGGGAGCTCCACCGAAGGCCCCAGACCCGCGCCCGCCCGCTGCGTCAGCCACACCCATTCGGCACACCCCTCACACGTTTCGTGGCCCATAGGGAGCTCCACCGAAGGCCCCAGTGCCCGCGCCCGCATGCGTCACCCACACCCATTTCGGCACACCCCTCACACGTTTCGTGGCTCCATAGAGAGCTCCACCGAAGGCCCCAGTGCCCGCGCCCACATGCGTCACCCACACCATTTCGGCACACCCCTCACACGCTTCGTGGCCCCATAGGGAGCTCCACCGAAGGCCCCAGTGCCCCGGCCCGCATGCGTCACCCACACCCATTTCGGCACACCCCTCACACGTTTTCGTGGCTCCATAGGGAGCTCCACCGAAGGCCCCAGTGCCCGAGCCGCATGCGTCAGCCATACCACATTCGGCACACCCCTCACACGTTTCGTGGCCCCATAGGGAGCTCCAACGAAGCCC